TTTTTTTTAAAGATGACCAGTAAGGGGATCTTAACCCTTGACTTTGTGTTGTCAGCACCACACTCTCCTGAGTGAGCCACGGGCCAGCCCCTAAAAGACATCTTTCCAGTGAGGTCTTCCACTGACCTCCTGGCAAACTTTTTGACTTTGGCTTTTTGACAACGGCGTGAGTAAAACTATACCCACATTAGACATCTAATGTCTATTACTTAATACTTAATGATAATTAACATATTTGAACCCAGTCTCATTTCACATTAGAAGCGTCCAAATCAGTGTACTGCAAACTGTTATAAAATTTTAATTTTTAACACTGCCCAAAAGTATGGGACTAAAGTTTACCAAACTTATAAAAACATTATAAAACACGTGATCTTATTTTTTTGATTTAATGTTTCATTTTCATCATTAAGAATGATGAAAAAGCAACACAAGCAAACATTAAATCATCTAAAAGCCCTTCAGATTGATTACCCATTATCTTTCAACTATTTCTGAGCTAAACTGAGAACATTATTTTATTATCTCTAAACAAGAAAACTTAAAACACTTTATGTCTTTGGCATTACCAGAAAAGGGCATTTAAACTTTGTACATTTTCTCACCATAAAGTTGAAGTTACAGTAAGATGAAGTAGAAGCCCACAGACCTTGCTGGTGTGAAATTTCTCTAACAATGTCAGATTGTTGCCAAAAAAACAGATTTTGTCATGCAGCTTGCAATTAATGTTCTAAAAATCTACCAGCCCATATAATTTTATCAGTCTGCCTTCCCCAGAGGAAGTAAACTGATAATAAAACTAATGAAATCATATTTCTTGACCACTCTCATCCAATATAAATTGTTACTTGTCCTCAGAGGATTAGACAATGAGCTACCTACCAGGTCATTCAAATGTCTGGGCTGGTTAACTGTAGAGACAGTATTCTAAGGTATGGGGGTGTTCCTGAGTCAGCAAAGAGTCCTGCATCATGACGAAGGGCCCCTTAAGTCATTACCAAGTGCAGATCAGGGGTTGATAGGCCTCTGTTAGAAATTGTTTTGCATCAGCATTTCTGTACTCCCTGAAAACACCATGAAATACTGAACTTTACTCGTGCAACAGATGAGAAGATGCCCAGTGTTTTAGTACTATTCACTGTAGAAAATTCTGGAACAGAAAGGAAGCACACATCTTCAGGTCATGAGTTGCTGAAACTCAGATCAATGAAAACAAAGCTGATAGACTCAATGCTTTCTGGAATGTGTGACACCAGCATTTCTTCAAGTTTAGCCCCAGGCCTTCTGGCATTAGAGTCATCTGGGGGACTGGCTACCAGGCTGATCTCCTAAACAAAACCTGCATTTAACCTAGTAAGCCTAATCCACTGGTATGCCCCAGCAATCTGCATTTGTCACCAGCCTACCAGGTATTTCTGATCACAGTAAAACTTGAGAACACTACA